TCTATCTATCTATCTATCTATCTATCTATCTATCTATCTATCTATCTATCTATCTATCTATATATCTATCTATCTTGAAGTAAGTATGTTTGTCCTTTGATAATGTGATCTGCCAAAGCAATGCGTACTGTTGCCATTAAGATAAGATAACTTTATATTATCCATATTATGTGTTATATTACATGTTTTTTTCTTATTTTAAATGTAAATCATCTTATTCCATCTGCATATTGTATAACCCTTCCATTAAAATTAAGGAAAAATATATTTATTCCCATGAAAGTCCCCCTGAGGCGGGATAGGGTGCGCAGCATGCAGCTCGATTAAATAATCCAATAAGACTTAGACTTAGGAGGATTTATTTTTTTCATTTTGTATACACGAGTGTAAACAAAAAAAAAATGGTTTTAAACAAATCTAGACAATTTCATTTTTTAAAGTGCAGCCTTAAAAAGAGTAATAAATACATTTAAAAAAACATATGTGTAACATAAACATGACTGTATATTTATAGTTCTAACATGATTTTTTTTTTTCATAATACCTGAAAAATTCTAAGATGGTATAAATAACCAGTTAATAATGAGCAGATAATTAATTAAATGATATAATATTGGTTTAGGAAGATAGGCTTCCATAGGTTTTGAAGTCCTTCATCCCATCAATCAACTGAGTCCATTTTCTGTGCGCTGTACCTTTAAGTGGAGCCCTGTTCCAGTGCGCATGCGCAGTCTGTGTTTAGGTTTAGCCAACCTGAGGAGCTTCTCGCTGCGCTAGCTTCTCATCGCTCTCTGTTGTTGTCATTCTTCGAGGGAAAACAACACATCTTTTCCTCAACAGCAGTACAAAGGAGATAACATTAAACGGTATTGTGACGGAAATCTACGTTTTAGGAAGCCTGTGGTTTCAGTAAAAACCGATATTGTCTATAAAGAATAGCTGAAGTGTTCGCCGAAAATACATCCCCCCAGCAGCAGGGTAAGAATAGCCATCCGGTTCCCACATCACACCGCATCCACTGCGGCAACCGAGCTCTCGGGCTAACGCAAACCTCTTTTCACTTTTTTGTTTTTACTTTGTGACTGTTTGGGGGAAAACATCCGGTTAAAACGCAGCAGCTTCTTGTGGAACGAGCCAGTGTTAGTTTAAAGGACTGTTAACGCATTAAAATGGCTGCTGAGATGGTATTTGGGGGAGAATGGCCATAAATCAGCACAGTAAAATAAGTAACGAATCCTCTACTAAATTATCCCGGGCTAACAAACTTTTTCCTTTTTCTTTTTTTGGCCTATGAGATTATTTTATGCATTTTTGTTTGTATTGCTTCTTTCAACAAATCTGGTGAACGGAATTCCTCCCGATTCAGATGTATACAAGCAGCTTTAGCTCCTATTTTAGATCTTTTCTTACCCAGTCCTCTTGTATGCCCACCGCTCCAAACAAATATGCAGGGCGACTGTGTCATAGTTGAAGCGTCCTGAGAAGTCGAGGCTTTCTCCCAGAGAAGGCCCCGCTTGGTCGACCTGGAGGGGAGTAAAGCAGAAGAATCATGGAGCCTGGAGGAAAAAGGAACACTTTTCTATTCGGTCCCAAGCTATATTTAAGGGGCGATCAGAGGGGGATCAACAGATATCTGGTGGTGTATGTTTTGTTTTCCTTCGTGCTCTTAACGCACGCGTCTCCAGCGAGATCCTGTGACAAGAGCTGCAACTCTGGGAAATGCATCAACGGCTCCTGCGTCTGCGAGCGAGGATGGGTCGGAGATCAGTGTCAGCACTGCCAGGGGAGGTTCAAGTAAGTGGCCTGGAAACCCTGCCTGCTGCTGCCGCCGCTGCTGCTTAGAGATGTGGGCCAGCAGCATCTAGAGGCTGGAAGTTTCATTTGGAAAAACTAAATCAATGGGGATGATTGGCAGAAAGCAAAACCTCTTGAAACACTAATAAGTTCTCACTGCAAATTAGGTATTTGTTGCTTTTAGATGAGTTCCCACGTTATGGAAGAGGATTAGGGCCACTGAGGAAAAAAGAAAGAAAAAATAACAAATTTTAAAATTTAATATCAGAGTAATGTGAGAAAAAAAATCTGACTTTTTGCTCAGAATTCTGACTTTAATCTCAGAATTTTGGATCTTAATGTAGATGGGCATCATGAAGGAAGAGATGTGGGAGCACTCAGCTTCACGGTCAAAAATGGGAGTTGTTTTATTGTTTAAAGTTTTACATTTTATTTTAGTGTAATATGAGAACATCTGTCAGATTTCTGACTCTTTTCCCCCTCAGAATTCTGACCTTAATCTCAGAATTCTGACTTTTTTCTTAGAATTCTGACTTTGTTCTCAGAATTTTGAATCTTAATGTAGATGGGCACCATTAAGGAAGAGACCTGGGAGCACTCAACTTCACTGACAAAGATGTGAGTTGTTTAAAAGTTTTAAGTGTTAAATTTTATTTCAGTGTAATATGAAAAACAAGTCAGAATTCTGACTTTAATCTCAGAATTAAAATTCATTCGGCTAATTCCGTCATATTCCAGCAATGTGTTACTGACCCATCCAAACAACTCAATCTTTGTCAGTGAAGCTGAGTGCTCCCACATCTCTTCCTCCATGGTTCCCATCTACATTAAGATCCAAAATTCAGTAGATTAAAGTCAGAATTCTGAGATTAGAGTCAGAATTCTGAGGAAAAAGTCAGGAATCTGAATTTTTTCCCATACTAAACTGAAAAAATATTTAAAAAGCAGTTCACTTTTTAATTTTTTTTTTTCAGTGGCCCTAATCCTCTTCCGTACCACATTATTCACAGAATCATTTGTTTTAATAACAGCACACAGCACTGTTCTCAGATCTTCATATTTTTTTCAGTAAACATCCTCGCTGAGGACCTGTAACACCATCCTTTCCTTCACTTACTTCTTGCATTTCCTGCATTGCATAATTTAGTCTTACTCTCACAATTGCAACAGAAACATTGTATTATATTTAGAAATTTATGGACAAAAATAGGGGTAAAAAAGGTTAATCTAACGCCCCCGGGCCCGTATAAATTCAGAGCAATTTCTGAACTTAAAATAGCTTTTTTTTTAGCAAATACTGTTCTCTTGTGTGTAGTTTAATCCAAGTATGGATTATAACCGCAGTATATCAAATTAATCAACATTCTCGTATCAATATTTGGAGAATTATAATTGTCAAGAAGTGCTTGAATTTGGATTTGATATGTTTCAAGTACCATGTTTTTACACTGCAAGCCAATAATTTATTGGATGGTCTAACTTTTCTTATTGCAGAAAATAGCTACATTTTAGTTGTGAGATGTGAAAGCTGCAATAACAGGAATTAGGAAAAAGGTGTTGAGAGAATATCATCATTGAAGCATTTGTGTCTCAAGTACATATCTTCAGTATTTGGTGCAACTCTTATATAAATATTTTAAAATGGCTTTTTAGATTTGATAGAAATTGTAAATGCAACCTTTTAACAGAGCGTGCACGAGGAAAAAATGGGCTTGTGCACGCTCTCACACACATAGGGATTTCTTCTTGTGAGCGGGTACAGGGTTGTGCATGTGAATTTTTTTTTAAGTAGAGAGGGAGGGTCTTTTATAAAATTTGGGGAAATCCTCACCTATACCTATAAGGTAGGGGAATCTTAACTGCGGATGGTAGCCACCAAATTGGACCTTAAGGGGAAATTCTATTATTGGGAGAAGGTTGTTCACAATAGGGCTCGGGATCCACGTTGTATTGTGGGACGTCGCGGTCATATTGACGGCTACGCAAACGTAAACAT